TCAGGGAAGCTGAACGGTGCTCCAGCCCTTGCTAAACACCCCAGAAAACTGACAAGCAATTACACCCGGTGAGGAGAGCCCTGCTGGGAGAGCACGGAAAGGCTGAGAGGTGGCAAAAGGTCTTTCCACACTCACCGCTCTCCTGCGGACAAGAAGGGCCCGGTGTCCCTGGGGCTGCGGCCAGGACGTGGACGGGACCTCGGCAGATGCAGTAGTCAGAGCTTAGCGAACAGTACACAAGCGGGGATGGCAGCGGTGGGTCCCTGCTCCCTCCCACTCCCCTGCAGGTTTTCTTCATTAAAACGCTCAGGGAAGCTGATCGGTGCTCCAGCCCTTGCTAAACATCCCAAAAAGTTGACAAGCAATTACAGCCAGTGAGGAGAGCCCTGCTGGGAGAGCATGGAAAGGCTCAGAGGTGGGAAAAGGTCTTTCCACACTCACCGCTCTGCTGCGGACAAGAAGGGCCTGGTGTCCCCAGGGCTGCGGCCAGGACGTGGACGGGACCTCAGCGGATGCTCCTTCCCCTCGCGGGTTCTTCCATCCCCTGCATCCGCAGGGAAGGTTGCGGTGCAGGAACGAAGAGCAGCTGTGATTTGAGGCTGACATTTACAGCTTCCCACAGGAAAGGGCAGGGAGCTTGCAGGTGCTGCCAGGGCCCAGGGAATGGCAGGAGAGCACTGAAGGAGCCCCTGGGCAGGTGCTGTGATTGCTGGAGCTAACTGGATTGGAAAATGCTGGGATTATAGCATAGCACTGCCCGCGGAGGACGCGGCTGCATTTTACTCCAGCCGCTTTCAAGTACATTAGGCCTGCGTGCATTTTCCAAGAAAGCTGAACTCAAAGGGAGCAGATTTATGAGGAGCTGGATCCCTTGGCTGCGGAGATAAACCTGCAGACACACTCTAATAGCAAATCTACTGCCAGAGCAGATGACTGTGCTGTCGGAGCTGCCCTCGAAGGGTGCGACATTAGCACAGGGGCTCCCTTTTCCTCCTTTTACTCCGTGTAGATGGTTCCTCTGGCCACTTCCATGGCAGGGGCAGCAATTTGGCTCCCACCTCCAGCCACATCCTCGGAGCTCCGAAGATCCTTTGAATAGACCTTAAGGCAAAATGTCAGTTAAAGGAGGGCCTCAGGTTAGCTTTCCGGTGTCAATTTATACGCTGTCTTTACTTAAAAGCATTAGGAAAGTATAAAAGCATGAAAAGCTATACTTTGTGATCTCTGTGATATTAAATACCTCTTTGAAGCTAGCTATATAGAGGCTGTTTGATATCCCTAAGTATTACCAAGCAGAAGCTATGGGCGCACACAGCGGTGTATCGCGGTTCAGGCACGGGGTGAGCAGGACCTGCCCCCCGGCCGCTATGGGAGGATGCCCTGGGCTAGGGGGGTGGCTCCCACACTGCTCGGGCGCTGGCCCCACGCGTGCCCGGGCCATCCCTCCCGCTCACAGGGGTGCCAGGAGGGCTCAGCCAACGCGCCGGCGGCAGCACCGCGACCCCGAGCGCTCGGCCAGCCACCCTGGTCCCCCCGCCGCGCTGTGGGGACAGGTATGGGGACATCCCTGCTCCCTTCTCCTCTCCCCTCTTCATCCTGCCATGCTACGGCTCCAAGGATGAAGGCAACGTAAGGGGTTGCCCTCCTGTTCCTTGTGCCAGCAGCTGCTGCGTTGACAATGAAAAGCCAGGGAGGAACCAGCCCACAGCTGTAAAGTGTTTTTTTTTTCCTCTCTTTTCCTCAAATGAAAGTCCATTAATAATTAACAGAGTGTTTAATGAGAAGCTAGGAGTTCTCAGCATTAAGAGGGGATTAAGGGTAATCTTCACTGCTTACGCCTCCTCTCTGTGCAAAAGAGGCCCTGACCTGCTCCTGCCAAAAGGGCTCAGGGTGGGTAGGAGTGAGGCAGGGCCGACACACACATTCCTGGGGGATGCAGGGCTGCAACTCACCTGATGGGAGGTCCCTGGGAAAAGAAAACGAGACATAGGTTAAGCACCATCAGCACATTCCCACTTAGAAATTGCCATTAGTTTATCTTCATTAATCAAACAGGGGGCTGCAAGATGTGCTGGCATGAAAGAGAGAGCAACTTTTCATTTCTGGATCCAAATTTGGCCAAACGGATCCTCTGCCAGTCTGCAATGTGCAATTTGTTCAGGCTGGCATTGCAGCCTCTGAGCTGGGATGAAACTAAACTGCTAAACCACAAACCTGGTACCATGTGGGCTCCTTACGAACCAGACAGAAGATCTGTGCTGTCCTCAGTACCTTTGGAGTAAATATGCATGAGAAAGCAAGGAACACACTGTGCATCAAGCCTGTCTTGCACGAAGAGAGGAATTGGTTCCCTCTGGGGCCATCCCACCCTCTAGATCTGCTCCCGAGAACATCACAAGCTTCACTGGCTGCTTGACACAGAAGCAAAGTTTCCAGGAGTTGCATAAAAGGAACCGAACCTTTGGATTTGGCTCCTCAAGGCTCTGCTGGAGATGCTGACTCCTAGAACAAGCTGGGAAACAGGAATTATGTCTTCTCTACCTGACCCCTGTCCAGTTGGCACTACAGAGAACTGCAATTGGTCCAGGGAGCCAAAAGCAGTGTGGAGTATCCTGGAACAGTGATTAGAATTTAGAAAGTCATGATCTCATCATGTATCTCCTGGGAGCAGAGAGAAAAGCATCCTCATGGATTAAATTTTTGGTTCCAAATTATTCACTCAACCCTGGGAGCGGGGAAACTCATTTTCCTGGCTTTGTACTTCTGTCAAATGCTGTGCGTAATTCTCTTTTCGTATTGCTTTTATGCCGCTTTGACATCACTGATTTATGTGTAGCTACTCCTAATGTGTAGTAGTGAAGCAGAAACGCAGCCAGATCTGCTGTCCTAAATTTTGGTGTATTATCTGCTGACTTCAACTATCACTGTGTGTGTCTCAGGTCTTACCACCAAGTTGTTAAGTGCTCTTGTCCATACTGATCTCTTCAAGTCTACCTTTGGAGTTACAGGCTCCGATATTTGGGCTGCAGCTTGGCCAGGTGCTTCCCTTCTTGCAGCCCCTCGCCAACTCCCAGAGGTTGTTTGTTCTCCTCCTCCAGCTCTACGTCTTTCCAACTCCCCCACATTTTAAGTCATCAGAAAAATCAACTGTTTCTTATGCTGTGACTCCCTCAAGGTCACAAATTTACAAAGGGACTCAGGTACCAACTGTGGTGCCTTGTACGCTCCCTTTCCCCAGCTCGAAGCTCTTTCACCGATACTTTGCTCTCTGTTTCTGTGAGGTTAATTCATCAGTTTTCAAAGGCCTCCTTGACCTAAGCTGGGTAAATCAGTGGTGGCTTCTCCTAAAAATATCCAGAAGAGACAACCACACTGGGATTAACTGCAGAGCGATACTTTGAGGAGGGCGAAGTGCCTGGCTGCGGCTGGAGGCTGTTTTGTCTCCCGTCTCTCAACTCCGTCATGCCCTCCGCGTGTTCTAGCCTATTCATCAGGCATGACTCACCGAGCTTCCCGGTGCACATTCCCCTCTGCTGACTGCCCCTTCCTAAAATTAGACCTTCCTCCCGTTGGCACGTGGCGCCAGGACACTGAGGAACCGCAGACCCACGTCCCTTCCCCATGTCACAGCAGGGAGCTGAGTCCAAAAGGGACCCGGGCTCTGCTCTGAGGACGATGCGTGTCCCTGGTTCGGCTCCTGCTTGGCCCAGCCGGAGCAGACAGTGCACAGTGACCCCTAAGACATGGCAACGGCCTGGTCAATACTCACTTCATCACATACTTGAAAGGACACCTCCATCTATGAAATCCTGGTGCCTCTGGTTCACAGCTGCTCCTCCTACACCCCCAAATTGCTGCAGACCAGCCCTTTGACTGACCTTTGAGCTCATTGACTCGCTGCAGTGGGTCTGGGGTCTGCAGGACTCGTCCAGGGATCCTATTCCTAGGGGTTTCACTATGAGGCCTGGTAGCTGTGGGTCTCCCACCTGCCAGCAAGGGAAGCCAGACTCTGGGAGGTGTTTAGAGAGAAGGGAATAAAATCATTGCTCTGCTAACCATAGAATAGGACTGACCTTCAGCAGGGGAATTTTGTGCTCCCATGTTTTCCCTGTTCCCCCGGGAACATTCACCAGGAGTGAAGTCAGTTGTTAGGAGACACTTGACACTAGAGCTAGAATATTTTCAGCCACATCCAGGCGGCTGGGACTGACTATAAATCCCACGGGCGTTACTGGAGATGCGCATGGATGCATTCTTTCACTGTTGACCTCAGCCCCAGAAGTAGAGATGGTTAAAAACAATAAAAGTAGTATTATTTGATAAGAGTCAGAGCAAATGCCCCCTTCTCATCCTATCGGCATCCCTGGCGCAGTCTGACCCCCAGCAGCCTGGTCAGGGGCAAGAGTTAGAGATAATGAATTAAATTTCACCAGCAGGGAGGGAGCAGGAATCCCACCCGCTGCTCTCGCACGCTCAAAATGCGCCAACTAATAAGGGAGTCGCTGCCGGCCCAGCAGCCCGCACAATTCTATCAAACCAACAGGGAAGAAATTGAGAAACACTCCCGTTTACTACACCTGCATTTCAAATCTGCTCAGTGCTCCTCAAGGCATTCGCCTCCCCACGCTTTTGAGGCACTTTTGGCCTGTCCTCCAACTGTCGCTGTCAGACTGTAGCAGGAGACGCCGGAGACGTGGTGCACGGCCGAGGAGGACGCGAGCGAGGGGCAGCACTGGGTCACGGGAGCTGCTCTGAACACTCAGGTGTTTCACACATGTAACAGCGCCACATTCTCAGCACACACCTCCCACAACCTGTTAATTAAACCCTTCAGTTTTGCACGCCACATGCCCAAGGCCGCTTACAGGAAGGTCATTTATTGCTCACAGTTTCTCCTGCCTTGGACCTTGGCTAAATCCTGCTTTCTTTCAGCAAGGCCCTTCCCCGCTCCCTCGCCTTTGCTCTCTCCTGCCCATGGCCGCGGCTTCGCCTCGGTAAAGCCTCTTTTCCCTCCTTGCAGACGGCCCGTCGGCTCCCGTCAACGTCACAGTCAAACACCTGAAAGCCAACTCGGCCGTGGTGACTTGGGACGTTCTGGAGGACGAAGTTGTCATCGGATTTGCCATTTCCCAACAGGTACAGTGCCCACACTTACTCACATTCGGTCATGCTCGTCTCCACGTCGGGTTGCCCTTTCCCACATGCTCTTGCTGCAGTTTGAACCCCTTCCTTCTGCCCTATCCCTCACGGTCGGAAAGGGAACTTGCTCCCTGTCCTGTCCGCAGCAGCAGCAGGGAGAGAAGGGGCCGACGGTCTCTGCAGCCGTGGGGGACAGGGCAGGACTCGGCAGCCTGGGGTCCCAGCCGTGCACACGGAGGGTCTCTCCACCTCTCCGTGCTCTCCTCTCTCGCCTTCCAGAAGAAGGACGTGCGGATGCTGCGCTTCATCCAGGAGGTGAACACCACCACCCGCTCCTGTGCCCTCTGGGACCTGGAGGAGGACACCGAGTACATAGTGCATGTCCAGGCCATCAGCATCCAAGGCCAGAGCCCTGCCAGCGAGCCGGTCCTCTTCAAGACCCCCAGGGAAGCTGAGAAACTGGCTTCTAAAAACAAAGGCAAGTGTGGGTGAGTTCCTGTGTGGCCCCGGGATGCCAGCGTAGGGTTCCCGGCGAGGGAAGCGGCGTCCTTGTCACTGCCCCGCATGGACAGGCAGATGCTCCACGTGTATCGGCAGTAATGCAGACATGGGGTGAAGCACGAAGGAGATGCAGGCGCTACAGCTGCCCACGGGGCCCTGCAGCCTGTGCTTGCCTCTCTGCAGGGCTTACACCTCAATATGGAACTGCCAACATAATACTAATATTAAGACTAGGACACTTCCATTGGTTATGATGACTGACTTGCATGCTAACCATGCAGGTGCCCCAGCAAAGCTGTGGGGGACATTCCTGAGCAGCCGGTGCTGACAGGACACAGAGGGACTGAGCCTCCTGCATGCACATTCCTGCAGAGCAAGAAAAAAGATGCCCAGAGATTCCCCCTTTTCTTAGGCTCCAAATGTTTCTGTCAAATCAGGTACTTCCTGACTGGAAAAGCTGTGGGGAGCATAGGGATCTGGGATACAAAGGGTTGCTCTGCTTACCAAAGGAGCCAGCCTGTTGCAGGGCTCGTGGCGTCGGTTCCTAGGATGCTGCTGGTTCTCTCCCCTTTCTGCTAAGACGACTTGGTGTTGTCTGTAAATACTGACAGGCCGCTCACCTGAGTGCACCAAGAGGAGCCCGGCTGCCCTCCCTGCAGCCTGAACTGAATCTTTCTGCTAAGATGACTTGGTGTTATCTGTAAATACTGACCAGCCACTCACTAAGCGCGCTAAGAGGAGCCTGGCTGCCCTCCCTGCAGCCTGAACTGAATCTTCTTAGTCCTGAGGCCAAGGATGCACATTGTGCTCTGCAAAAAGGTTCTCGTTGCTGAATCCCTCGGCTCTGCTGAAAACTGCAGAGCCGGGAGAGGAGCCACGCGCCACATACACTTACTCCCAGCAGCTCCAACGCAGTAACTGCCTCCTAATCCTGTTTGCTGCTCCTTGCTCATCCCTGGGTGCTGCAGATCGCTGTGGAAGACGGTGGGGCAACGTGGGTCACGCTCCCTGTGACCCACGGGCGAGGACTCACTCTTTGCTACCTCTGGCCCCGGGGCACTGACGATTCCAGTCGAGGCTGCTGTTAAACCGGGCCTAGCGCAGCCCCACTGAGCCCTGCAGTTACAGTTCACGATCTCTCTTTCCCCTTGTGCAGATGAGGTGACAATGAAGGAGATGGCAAAGAAAAACCAGCAGCTGCGAGCAGGGGAAATTCTCATCATCGTCGTGGTGTTGTTTATGTGGGCAGGTCAGTTTGATTTCTCTCAAAAGCACATAACACCCCAGGGACTCCCTTGCTTGCTTGGTTTGCACGTGTAGTCACCTAAGACCTGACAAGAAATGCTTCCTCCCAGAACGCTGCTGCACATTCAGCTCCATTTCTCCTGCAGCATCACAAGCTGGGCAGTGCCAGAAGTTGGATGGGGACTGGGTGCCTCAGTGGTCTCACCTGGTGCAGCAAGTGGGATAACGGCCTTGATGAACCACTTGTCTAACTCACCATGGCTAATCCTGTAATCTCCATTTGCCAGAAAGCTCTAATGATGATGCCCTTCAAATGACTCAGGTCACTGTCGCTATCTGGCTTGTTATATGACCCCAAGTCTCATCCAAAACAAATTCCTGTGAGTTCTACCAAGACTGAGTTGTGACCATCTAGCTCTCAACCCACTATTTTACTAAAACCTGCACTAACAGAGCTCTAACAAACCGATCATCAAGTAAATGTGCTCCTCCAGTATGAAGAACCTTCCCTACGAATATAAACAAAATGTCCAAAGAGAAGTGAGAGTTTTCTGGCATGAGTTTAGGACCACATTTCAATATGCCCTTTAGCAAATCATAACTAGGAGAGATCTGGTTCATGCATTTTAAGCTAGCAAACGCCAAGAGGAAAATGCCCAAGTTCTGCTCTGTCCACTGATGATATCGGAGTGGCTATGGCCTGTTCAAGCTGGACACTTTCTGCATGAGTTAACAGGAAATAAAGCTTGCACTTGCCTGTTTTCTATTTAGAGCCACAGCCTCCCCTGGCTGCCACTCAGGGGCTGCTCCTGCTGCAATGTAAAACATTAATGAAAGAGCATGATGTGTTTGCTCCCCATGAGCCACAGAGCAGGCTGCCCCTCAGAGAAATGGTTCAGGTGACCCTAGGAAACTGGCAGGCAGATAAATTAATGCTCTGGCAAATCACATAATCCACAAAACACAACCTTTGTGGGTCAATATTTACTCCCCTGGTGCCAGCCAACCAGTTTCCCCACACACAAAACGCGTTAACCATCACACAGAAACAGCCTCCTCGGAGTTATTACTAACCACAATATCAAAATGAACGATAAGAGGTGTCCAAAGCCACCAGTTCTCAGTCTTTCTGATGTTCACATCACGTTAAGCTCTGCTTGTCCAAATTTCATAGTTTTTACAGGCAGGACAATCACAGATAGTTACACAAAGTAACTGAACAACCTAAAACTTAGATCAGTGTCTGAGCACAGAATTTGCTAACACCACAATTTCCTTTCTAGGTGCATGATGTATTTAGGAAGGAAAGTGGGTGGGGGAAAATGTATCTACACTCAAGGACTTTTTACAAAGTTTCAGCACACAAACAACTTTTTCCAGCCTTTAATCTGGCCTGGTGACCTGAATCTATAAGAATGTTTTAGGAAACGCAGGCTGCAAGCAGCCCGCACGCTGGGCTCTGGAGCCAGAGACCCAGGTTCTTGCGCTGATTCTGCTTCCAGTATCACTCACTATTTTGCTGCTCTGTGCCTCATTTTTACCATCAGAAGTGACAGACGGTGGGACGATGGCAGATGTTAACTCATTCTCCTAGGAGCAGCCCTTTGCTCGCAGGCAAGGGGCTCACAAGGACAAATTTGGACCACTACATTTATCAGTGACTCCTGGGGACTGCTGCCATAACAACTCCTCACTTTATAAAGCGTTTTGTGAGGAACTGAGGAAAGCTCTACATGTGTTCTGCTGTTAGGGGAGCTGGAATACTTTTCAGTATGGGAAACACAGCATCTGCCCAGTCCTACTTTAACACTGTGCTTGGAATCTGCAGGCAGAGGAGTTATTTGGTCAAAATGTCACGTAAAAGCTTCTCAGAAAGATGTTTTCAGTCTTCTTATTCATCATGGCAGCACCTGCTTTGCTCTTCATGGGCCTCTGCGCGTGGGAGGAAATTTCCACTGGCAGTTTTTGCTGTCGTCACTGCTGCATATTTACAGATGTTGCCCTGCTGCTTGAGAGCCCCTGGCTGGTTTCTTTTGCAGGCAGGTGCAGAACCTGCCTCTCACCTCCCAGCTCCTTCACTTCATCTCAGAGGAGGAAAATCAGAGGACACATTTTCCCTAGCCAGAAATACCAGGAGCTCCTGTGTCTGCAGAGCCAAGATCCCATTTAACCACATGGCTGGCACTAATGCTTATCCAAATGTGGGGTTTAAAACACTTGTCCCATGCAATGACAGGGAAGTGGGAATATAATTAATCTTCTGACCTAACTGGTCTAGCATGGAATTTGGCACTGAGAATCAAACAGCCAGAGGACTGAGCAGCTGTGTTAGAAAAAATTCCTTAGGAGTAATTGTGGATGCTGCTGAGATCCCTGCCAAGGCACAAAGCGGTTGGCAAGCCAGGGATCTCGGAGCACCGCGGGCTCCGGAGGCCGAGCTCGTGTGTGTGACCGCTCCTGTCTCCCCTGCTAGGCGTCATCGCCCTCTTTTGCAGACAGTACGATATCATCAAAGACAACGAGCCCAATAACAGCAAGGAGAAAGCCAAGAGCGCCTCCGAGAACAGCACTCCCGAGCACCAGAGCGGGGGGCTGCTCCGCAGCAAGGTGAGACGCGGCCGAGCCGCTTCCCCCGGGCCAAAGCACCCAAAAAGCCTCCTCTATTCAACATCCTCCCTCCTGGAGGGAGCACGGGAAGATCCTCCATCCCAGGCCCTGCAGCTCCCTGAGCAGCCTGAGCCCCCGGCACACACAGACACCAGCATTTTACTCCCAGCTCGGGGTTAGTCTCTTTGTCCTCGCCAGTAAACCAGAGATTTCAATCCATATGAGGCTGCTGCTGTTGTCACAGCTAAGACCCATGTCATTTCTGGCCCCTTTCAATAGCCTGAGGGGGTAGGAACAATACATTTTATAAAACCCAAATCCTCCAGCACATTGCACTGATCTCCGATGTTTTCTTTTCTCCCTAGTGATTCCTATACATTCTCTCTTCCTTTGTCTCTTCTAGTTTCCAAAAAACAAGCCCTCAGTGAATATCATCGAAGCGTGACAGCCTACCCTCTGATAGATGGACTCCATTTCTCACTCTCACTTTCTGCCTCTGAGCCTTGATGACTAAGGGAGGTGAAATATTGTTGGAGCAATCTGGAAAGAGACCTCACGATTGCCACTTGCTGGCACGAACCTCCTTGTCTCTGTTCTGCAAAGCATCTGGCCAGAAAGAAAAAGCCTGCAAAAAAACAAGACAAAACAACATACCCCTAAATGCAAACAAACAATTAAGATGCAAAAGCATCCGCTGATCCTGTACCGGACTCGTGAATCACCTAGGCTGGAGTGACTTCACACACTTCACCCTCACACTCCATCTTCTGCAACAATTTTCCTGTCTTTGGAGAAGTGTACGGTTTTACTGTATCTTTGTTTTGTCTCACTGTCACTACATCTTGACAGTAGATGAATATGAGCTCAGGCATCAGTCACTGTCACTCCTCTTCAAGCAAGAAAGAAAAGCTCATCGCAGACACGACTAGCAGCCAGATCTTGGCTGCTCTGTGCTCTTGCTTGCTTTGTGCCATTGATGTTTGTTGTGTAACAAGTCTTGTAGATGGGTTTTTAAAACAAACAAACGAGGGAAAAATGAGGTATACCCCAGTTTCCACTCAAACTGTGAGAATTTCGCTGGTTGTTTCCAGTCAGGCTGCAGCACATGACTCCACTGTTGCTCTCTCCTGTCTTGCACTGGTGGGACTTTACCTTGGATGCTCGGGACACTCCGGACACCGAGAACCTATGTGATAGGACACCTGAAGCTGTTGTTTTGCTTCCAGGATAACTTCAAGGATTCTCTTCACAGTATTTTTAGCTGGGCCCAAGTTCACCAACAGTGTGATAACAGGTCCATTAATGTAGCCAGTCAGCAAAAAAGAAAAAAAAAAGGAAAAAAAAACTTGTGATATAGGTTGCTATGCAAGGTCTCCAGTGGCGATAGTTATTTATTGCAAAAGACTTGCCTAAAGGAGCTTTTTTTGAGGGCTTAAGTTCTTACCAAGTTGCTTCTTCTAGTGGGGCTCCCCAGGAAGGTCTGGTTCTCCTTACACGTCTCGCCTGCACTATTTTTCGTGACGTTGTAATGCCAGGTATTTGTTCGAGTCAGTCCTCCATTAAAAGGACAACGACAAATGGGAAGGGGATGGGGTTCTCCTCTCTCTTTACTAAGTGCTGATGTTTGCAAGCTGACAGGATCCCTGGGACTGTTGGTGCTCTGGAAGCTGGTAGATCCAAGTGCATCATGTGGAAAAGATTTATTCTTTGTGGTGTGCCATGGAGTATCCGTATTTAATTGCTCCACAAGACCACTCTGTACACACTAGGGAATGAGGCAAGAGCCTATTTGTTCCATCAAACACCAAGAGACGTTGACCTGAGAAGGATTCAAATCTCATCATAGCAAACTTGCACTCCCATAAGCCTGGCTGAAAAGTCAAAGCAAAGAAACAGGCTGCCAGTTCAGCCACCTCCCCACTTCCACAGTCACCAGCCTTTCGGAACAGCTCGTCTGGGAGAACAGCACTAGGAAGTCTGCTTGCAGATCACAGTTTGCAAACAGGCAAGATCTTCCTGGGAGCCTGTTCCAGAAGGCAGGCCAACCCCCAACAAAATCACTGGATCCTCTGCCAGAAACTATTTCTCCATCACCAAGAGGGAGAGGTCAACACCTCTGATACAGATAGAGCAATAAACATTTTATAATGTACAATAAAAGACTAAAGACATTATCCCGTGTCCTTGTAATGTGAATTTAGTACCGTTTTGTCTTCATGTGCTTTGAACAGAGCGCATGCAATGGAATAGGGGGGTTTTTCTCTGGGTATCCTAGGGACTCTGCCCAACTGTTTTATCTGGTTTCCCACAAGCAGGAACAGAGAGATTTATCAGAGTTCATTCTGGCTGTGGGATGAGGAGGGGGGAAAAAATAACCCTGCAACATAAATAGCAGCACAGCCCTACCTAGCAGGATTCTTCAGACACGTCTGTTCTCTCCTAAGAAAGAAATGGCATTTGGAATCCATAGTGCTATAAAGGGAGATCTAGGACAGATGGTGCAGCATGTGCACGAGAAGGGAGATGCTCTCTCATAATCCTAGTGCAGACAGCCAAGCAAGCAGCCCTCGGCAGCCTGCTAGTAGGAAATCCAGCCTGGGTAATTTGGCAGGGGTGTTTGTGTGTGCGCACGCATGTGCATATGTGTTTACAAAGAGTCTTCCCTGGAAATTCAGACCATAGCCCATTTTTTACAGTAGCTGCTGTTGCTCCCTAGTGACAGATTTAAACCATTTCTTTCCTAACAGAGACATGCTCACTCCTTGAGTGTAGGAAAGGAAAATTAAAGGTATAAAGCATTAGTGTTTGCTCAGAATTAAGTACTCACACCATGATGCGGCAGGAGGTAAAAGGCTTATCGTTATGTTCCATATCTGCAGGCTTTAAAGGCAAGATAATAATGCTATTAGTGAAAAGAAACAAATGAAGCCTGGCAGCAAATTACAGAAGGCTTCCAAGCTATCAAATTCAAGCGATTCTCTTAAAGGATATGTTTTCAGCAACTATGATTCAAAGATACATAATAAGTTTACACTTTAGGAAAAGTTCTCTCTCATTCGGAGATGAAAAGAGTCCTAGTAGGAGTCACCTTAAGTAAGATGACTTAAGGTGTTATTTTCTAAAGGTCACAGGCATCACAAACTTAACTGGTGTTTAGGTACCAGCTTCCACTGTAACCCACGGGGCTCGGACACCATCAAGGCTTCGGGCATGACTTCAAGTCTAAGCCCATGTTCAGAAGAGATACCCAATTCTCAACAGGGCTTGCCTAAAGATACTCCTTTTGAGGAGACTTGAGATGGTTTTTGGTCACTATCAGGGGAAAAAAAAAAAGAGGTAAAGTACTGAGGAAAAAACTCACGTTGGGCCACAAAAGACCTCGCCCCAAAGGCCAGACACAGTTTCCTGAACATTTTGTCTCACTGATGGTTATTGGAAGCAAGGCCTAGGAAAAAAATGGTTTTAAAGAATACTAAAAAGAAGCAGGTGGGAGTAAACTTGCACAACAGGGATTCCAGACAGCCCCACGCAAAGCAATTTCCCATTGAACCTGGAACCGAAGGAAAGAAGCCTCCAGCCGGCATCGCTGATGTCACACGGCCCCTGGGGACGGATCCTGCTGATTTCCAGGAACAAACTGAGCAGAGACTGTGCACACAATAAGGAGCAAGCAGCAGAAAACAGAACCCTTTGCCAATGGATGCAGCGCATACTTAAAGTTAAGCACCACTCGCCTTCATCCTTTCAAGCACAGTAATCTCATGCCTACACGCACAATTTAGCCAATATATTCCTCCCCCACAAGTTTAGGAAAATTGAACCGCAGGAGGCGGTGTAGAGCAAACAATCCTGCACAGCGTGTCCTTCCAGTTCACAACACAGCGCCACGCATTCCCCTCACCTCCCTCCGTACAACAGGGAACGGCGCAAACTCTGCTCCTCGTCTCCTTGGAGGAAAATGAGAACATTAGGCATTTTACCCACTGACACTTCAACAGCATCAGAGAACACACCTACACAACAGAGCATGAGGATAATCTCAGCTGGTACCAATTTTCTGGAGATGTTCATGGGGGAACAGCCTAATGCCAGAGGCATTAAAGGCTGCATCACTCCAGAGCCTCTATCGCAGCCGCACGCTCCTTGCACTGATAAAAATATGGCAATTCATTGACTGAGCAGTCAGACTTCACTCCCCTACAAGGAGCGAGTTGAAGATCATATCATATGTTACACCAAATTTAATGTCCCTTGATTAAAAAAGCTTCCCAATTACATTTAATGAGCTACTACTGCCTACTGCAGATGGAGGATGCTAACAAGCAGGCAAAGTGACCAAATTGAACCAGTTCTCTGGCATTTGTTAAAAAGTGTTACGGCCAACATGCTTGTTATGCTACAACTCCCTCTGTTTTCTCAACAAATCTGCTGTCTGTTAAATCACTTGATGATCCTATAGATTAAAACAATTATGTTCCTGCTTGTTAGTGCTCTTAGCCCACAAGACTCAGGGAGAGCGAGCTGGATTCTATTTCAGCTCATGCATCAGCATCAATTTTGTTTAACTAAGTTCCAAACGAAGAACCTTTATTATTAGTGACAGAGCCAGGAAAGACACAGCTTGAATTTTAGATCCCAGATGGAATCAGCAGAGTTGGCAGCCAGAAAAGCCATCTTTTTGCTTGTGATCTGAACACATTGGTGTGGAATCATCGAGTGGCAATAATGACAAAGCCCCATGATGCTATTTGACACTTTCCAGAACATCCCTGTCCTTTCTAACTGACAAGAAAAACCTCACTTAGTGCCACCAGCTGCTAAATAACACCTATTTATACCACCCAGGCTTGTTTTTTTTTCAGAGGGCACAACCAGTATAGTCCTGAACTCTCAAACCAGAGCAGATTCTTCAAGCTTTTCAACAATGATTTACTGCAAACACAAATTAAGGGAGGACATCTAGGACAATGACTGACTTTGGCCACTTTTTAAAGCCCCCCTTTCAGGAACACAGCCTAGGGCTTTGTTATGTACATTGAAAAGGCCTCTTTCTCCCTGGCCCAAGCACAGAAGGCTGAAGACTCCACCACACAGTCCTTAAACAAAAGGCAAATTTTCTGCCAAGTGCTGTACGCACAGAAGCGCACTCATTTCCTACATCTAAGCACATTCTCAAACAACAAGACAGAATTCTGCAAACTTCAAACAGTCTTATAGGAGCGGCATTAAAGAGTGAATTACATTTCAATGGACTTGGTTATCTCCAGGCCTCAGAGAGAGCTACAAAGCTTTTCCACAGCATTAGATGTTGCTTTGCCTCTTGTGAGCTTTGAAAAAAAGCCAACTCTGTCTTTTCTTCCCCTCATTTGTGCAGAGACACCATAAGTCAGGAAATAGCATTTAGAAACTGCACACCCACCTGAGAGGGGGGTTACACCTACAAAAAATACTGCGGAAACAGTTGGTGTGGAGACAGAACACCTGGGCAGCCACGAGGAAGTCGAACTGCTGCAGAAGAGACTGGGCACCAAAGAGGTCTCAAGCCAGGAAAGCAATTGAATCATGCCAACAGCTGGGGAGAAATATCTGTATTACATACTAGCTCCTTGTAAAGCTCAGAAAATCCAAGTCCTGACTAGATCACGCAGGCTAGGAGAGCAGGTCTCCTCCTTGGAGGTCCAAGTCAGGGTTACATGGATCACAGAGTACCAAATTCATACTAATTTCTGAGACACAAGTTCTTTAGTTTAAATCAGACTAAGGCCAAAGATTTAGAGGATTCCCACTCTCAAAGTCAATTGGACAATGTCTCCCTGAACTCACTGCCACCTTGGGAGTTGCTCATAATTCTTTTACAAGACATTGCCACAGAGGTAAAACTCTATCTCAAAGGGAAAATAAAAAGTACCTCCATGGTGTTTATTATTAAAAAGACAAACCACCATCAAAAAGTCTGACATTCCAATCCACTAAATGTTTCCTGTGGCCTTTCCTAAAGCAGAAAGCAAATATTTAAAGTCTGCAAATTAATTCAGCAACAGAAAGCGAGACTAAACACAAGCTGACTCACGAACACTTCAGACTAGTAAGAGGTTTCACACTAGTAAGAGGTTTCAGCTCTCTGGAGAGCAGCAGAGTCCCCAAAGCAGCGTGTAACACCAGCCAGTTTTTGGAGAGTGCTCCAGAAGTGCCTTATTTAACTATCCAACACAAGGAGCTGAGAGCAAGAATCCTCATGGCCATGTCACACAAGGAAAGGGGACAGCGAGCCCCTGGATGAAGTGAATTGCCAAGGAACAGAATTTAAAATGCCAATTTGCTTCCTTTCTCCTCAAGTACAGCCCGTCCTCTATCCTTCAAGAACAGCTAGGATCAAACTGCAGAGTTAGGATGAGATTTCCAGACAAGTTCCACGCTGATTTGGATGCCAGGAACCCTCGTTATTCTCAAAAACACCCAGCTATGTGTTGGGGCCAGGTGATTCCCACAGAAGCCCTGGACCAGCCTGGTGTGGACCGGGGAGCATCACACTGCTAGGAGCAGCAAACTGCTCCTTCCAGCCCCCAAAACACAGGCTGCCTCTCGCTGCAAGCTCTTTCCAACCTGCTTCATCAACAACAACTACCCCACTCGGGGTGACGGATCCTTCTCCAAATGACAAGAGAATAGTTGTCTGAGCAGCAGGTGGTGCAGCCACTATCTCATATGCATAATTGCAATGTTAATGACCTGTGAAAGCAGTTCCCCTGAAGCACAGATGCTTGGGGAGAAAACAAGAGAAGGCTACATTTAAAGAGAGAAATAATTAAAAAAAAAAAAAAAACACTTTTAAATCTTTTGAAAAAACAGGCCTATATAGCTGCATACGTTGCTGAGGACAAGCCTGAGCAGCAGTTGAACTAACACTTAGTGCTAACAGTCATAGAGGTAGATGCAGGGGCCTCACTGCTTCTGTGAGCTGGTGCAGACCCAGCCAGAGTCTCATCAAGGAGGGTTTGGTTCTATTTACTGTCGAATAAAGGGCAATAATGAAGTGTGAATCCTAACAAATGGTCAGCTGGCAGATATTGTTACTGGTCAATTATCAGTTTCAGCCACCCATTTCCAAGCAGATGTTCAAATCTCATCTCATTTTTACATCTGCTACAATGCAGCCTCAGCAGCATTTAGATTGCTAAGGGAAGCTGCAAATAAATGTATCTATTCATACTGAATATCCTCTAGAAACTATAATTAGAGGCAGAACAAGTAGAACCACAGGTTATTCTGTATTACCAGTTCACTTGAGATGGTCAGATTTGAAAAGTTTACTTGGAATATAAAAATTACCACAATACAACTGCCAGGAGACTTGCAATAAAAAACAGATCTGAACATTTGTAGCAGCAATAGATTATGATTTCTGAGCCACCTGATCAGTTACCACTTCCCAGAGGGAATTCCCTGGCTGGGGCTGAAACCTGTCAGTTTTCCTTTAGGGATCACTCTGCATTTCTTAGCTCCTAGGCAAGGGACACTCGAGATTGCTGCAGGTGCATGAATGGAAGAGGCACCATCCAAGGTCAAACTCAGCCCACTGAGAAGGTCCTTCTGTGACAACTGGGAAAACCCATTCAGTCCCCTGGGCTACATTCCAAGCCTACAGCTATTTGAAATGAGGTTTGCACTAATCGAAAAACAAAACCAAACCCAAATGGTGCGCATCACAGACAACGCTCCTCCACAGCAAAATAAGATCTCTATTTCACTCACCAGCCTTGCTCATTTGCAGCTCCTGCCTGATTTTCTATGACTCAGAACATACGTCTTGCATTTTTAATTTGAAAGGAAGGAAAAACAGGCCAT